CATAAAAAAAATTATATAAAGTATAAAAATATTATAAAAAACTGTATTGAAACGAAATAAAATCACGATTTGATCAGATAAATGCTGCAATTAATATTTTAACAACAAGAATTCTGCGAATACTATGTATCTCTTTGACTCATCAGGTCAATTGTTTCATATTTCTCGAAGCAAGCGGAAATAATAATTGTTCTTTAGTACAAAGGTGTACATATACCTGAAATGTATACGTTTATACGCGAATAGAATCCTACATGACAGTGGATTTTACAGATCATATCTTTATCAAGCGGAATTTACGGACCCACGTTACGAGGACTGATTTAATATTTGGTTTGTATAAAAGTGACGTTTATATTTCTCTTTACTTTTTTCAAATTTGTATTCTGCACATTTTTCACCAGCAAATAGATCGCGAAATCGGAAAAATACAAGATTGAGAATAATAATTCAATCACTAAATGATCGCATTAAATCATAACTGTGATATTCTATTGCATAAAACCAAATTTTCAAATAAATTTCTTTAACAATGATATCTTTTATCATGAACCATTTGTATTGTAATTTATGCAACTATTTTTTGCCCGTATGGAATTTATATAATTATTATTATGCATAATTATTACATACTTCGCAAATCATTTCTGTATTATATCCAATAGGCAAAAAAATTAACAATATTATTAATTGTGCTAGCAGTTTACTAGCCGATTCAAATAATAAAATATTGCAGTAGATTGAGATCGACTGCATCTATATTAAATATATATTAGCGGAACTTATCAACAGAAATCGATTAAAATTTATTATTTTGTAATTTAAATGTGCATTTAAATTAAATGTTTCGAAAAATGATAACGATCATTTTTCCCGATGTCTACAGTCAAATGAATTAGTACATTTTGTTATATTTCTGTTAACATTCTATCGATAAATTTGTAGTAGATATTTTGCAAAATCTCTCAGATTTAATTATCTGGATGACATATTATTTGGATTATTAATTTTCGGAACTTCGCTTGTCATCTCGTATTGTTTTATATTATATAATATGTACTCTATTCTACTCTATTCTTCTCACAATAGAACTAAAACTTGGCTTAACGATTATAACGACAAATAGGAAGATTATCACGATTAATGTGCGATTAATTTATAGTATCCTTATGTAGTGTTTCACTATATATTTCTAAATAGACATCGCACGTTAGCCGGGATGTTCAATCAATATCCTAAAATATCCACCGCTTGTTCACGTTGTATGGGACGTGCGCGATACTAGAAAAGAGAAGAGGCCAACTCCGATGATTCGAGCATCAACATCGGCAGCAGCAACAGCAGCAATAGACGAGGGCGATCGATATGATCCGTGGTGCGTTCAATGCCACACTTGGAGAACATTGAATTGTGTTCAGCGGCAGCAGAGAGAGAGAGAGAGAGAGAGAGAGAGAGAGAGAGAGAGAGAGAGAAAGAGAAAGAGAGAAAGAGAGAGGGGATATACCCCACGGTCGATGCCTATATAGCGAGCTACGAACGCAACAGATCGTTCCAGTCGTTGTCTCTCGTCTCAGGATTTCCTCGCCTCCTTTTTTTTTTTAATCTACTGCACGTCCTCGGATTAGCCTCGATTCTTCCGAGGTCTCGCGATACATTCTCACGATGTGCACGTTTAATCAAACGACCGTCTAACGAACCGATCAGCTTCGCCGGTTCGATTATCGCGATCGAAAGTGCTCGAGGTGGTAGCGCGCGGTGATAACGAATCATTCTCCGGCATGTTCTCCAGGACGTAGAACAGAGAGTTTTCTCGCTGTCACCAAGCGGAAGCTGGGAAGGAGTTTCTTAATATATAAGTGCTTCTGTTTAATATTAAGTATTTCGTTCTGCCGCGCCGCGCGGATCAGGCGTCTTAATTGTGCGCGCGTGGCGCAGCATCCCGAAGGCTGGATCCGATTCGTAGCACGAAGAAACTCTTACCTCCTATTTTTTCCCGCGGAACTTCGGAGGTCTCGGTTGACAGCGACATGCCGCCGCAGGAGAAGTTTCCGGCGTCCGCCGGAGTTTCCGGGGATCTGTCACCGCAAGACGCGAGTCCCGATGGAGGTCTGTCGACCTCAGCCTCGTCTGACGGACTTTCCACCGTCAAGGGTCGCAAAAGCGACGACGACCAGGATGATCAGGAGCAGCCCAAAGACATGGACTTCGACGATCTGCTGCCGCACGTAGGTGAATTTGGCACTTATCAGAGGATCCTGTTTGTGCTGATGATACCATTTGCCTTCTTCGTCGCCTGGGTATATTTCTCACAAATATTCATCACTCTTGTGCCAGAGGAGCACTGGTGCCGTGTACCGGAATTAGAGGACCTCACGGTTGAAGAAAGGTAAATAGATAGTGTTTGTTATCGTTCTAGGGCTGTGCCATCTAAGAACAAAGAAATTAAAGCAATAATAATATATAAAATAAAGAAAATTTAAGAAAATTAAAGAAAATTGAAGTCATAAAAAGACAAAAGAAGGTAATATATGTGTAAGCTCAGTGAATGATATAAAAATGACATGTTCAGAAATAATACAAAGTAGAACCAAGCATGATGAAAGGTAAGTGGATATTGAAAGCATCGTCGCGCTTTCGTGCTTTAACATTTGAAGAGGCTGTACTGATTAATGTAGAATTAATTGAAAAATTATTAATAATATTATTTATAATTCTGTTGCAAAATTAAATTAGAAAAAAGAATGTTTAAATAAAATAATGATGTACTGCACTCAAAGCAGATTTTATCGTTAAGTGAATTGTATAACAACTCATTTATACAATACTAAATCATAATAAATGTTTGATAGAAGAAATTATTACGTGCTTTTTTTTAATACGAGAATGTTACTACTTAGAAGATTATTACTATTTTTAAAGCAGTGTAATTTTTTGCTGCTCATAATAAACTATTTTTATATGTATTTGAATATTTTTTTATCTTACCATTATTTACATAATTTTTTTCATGTAATGAATTATTTATCTACATAACTCGTTTAAAATTCACAATTTTACACGAAGTTTAGTTTTTATGATTTTCATAATCTTTGCACGTAAATTATTTCGACATTGAGATAATTGTTTCACGTTTTATTATTTGGCACGTGATTGTTTGAACGTGTTATAAATATCAGGAGACACGGTAGAATCTCGGCGCTAAGCCAAATCTTATCTACGTAATTCGCTTCAAATTCACAATTTTGTGCGAATATGATTTTCATGATTTTCATGATTTTCATGATTTTCATCATTTTTTGTGCGTGAATTATTTTAACATATATTTAAATATTTTTTTCATGCTTTATTATTTGACAATTTGAATATATTGTCTTATCTACGTAACTCGTTTTAAATTCACAGTTTTCTGCGAATATGGTTTTCATGATTTTCATCATTTTTTGTAAATTATTTTGACATATATTTAAATATTTCTTTCATGCTTCATTATTTGGACATGTCACATAAACTCGTTGAAAATTCACAATTTTGTGCAGATATAATTCGTACATAAATCACAGAATGAATATGTAACACTTAACAAAGGTCATCGAATGATAATTTACCTTAGTCTCGTATCTTCTCTCTTATCACTACATATTTGTTTAACACAAAACATTAAATGGCTAAAATGCATCGTTCACTTATCAATTAATGATTAGTGCAGAAAATTTAAAAACAAAAACCTATATGATTCCTATCAAGTGATAAAACTCTCACAATGTGGGATAAATGGTTTTTTTCGATAAAATTATGAACGCACATTCTAACTTCGAAAGAATAATAGAGCGTGTTATAAATGCGCAATGATACAGATAGTCCCCTTATAGTGACGCACGTGACGTTGATTCAATAGGAGAAGAAACTTTTCATCAGAAGCTTGGAGAGCGTCTGCGATAACAGGTTTCACAATTTTAAAATTACTTTGCTTTTTCATTATGCTTATGCAAGCTGCATTTTCATAAACACCTCTTTCTTCCTTTTCCAATTATTATTTTTTTTAATAACTCAAGGATCGTAATTTATGTCTGTGGTTTCGTCGATCATATCTTTAAACTTCTTTTCTTACAGTAATCCGAGCAGATTTTATTCTACTCACGATTACCGGTATTCCGCGGAGACTATTCTCTTGCGCGGTAAAATTGTTCGCACGAACAAATATACTATGAACATTCAAATTACTCGGAATACGTAGAATCGGTGATTCACGGTCTGCGATTTGCTATATATTTTTCTATTGCTTGGTCAGCGCGTTTTTATGAATTATACTAACACGATGCTATTATAGATAAAATATTATAGATAAATTAGATATAAATTTATTACATAATGGATTGCCTAGTTTACAGTTATTCTTCAGCCTTTTTTCATTTAGAATCTTTTTTTTTAAATTAGAGAATTTAAATTAGAGAATTTTTTTTAATTCGCTATCTGTACCAAGATAGACAATTTAATGATTCCAAGATAAACAAAGAAACACAGAGAGGCCACAATAATTTTACTTAAATTTACCTTAAGCAACCGTTAATTTCCATCTGATTTCAGAACAGAATTTTGTTTATAATTTATGTTATACATTATATACGTTATATATATATTATATACGTTATATACATTATATACGTTATACATAAATAAAAATACATACTATACATTTTAACCTTTGAGAGGATAAAAGTGGCCACAGTATCCCAGATATAGTTTTCTTTAAAATTTTTTTCTACAAAAAACTCTGAATAATATTGCCCAGAAATGCCTAAAAATCTTAAAATAATTCATAACATTTACATTTCTTTATCTCAAAAAAGTATATAACTTACCTACGCATTTAATTTTAACATAATATATAAATATAATTATGTAAAATTTTTTAAGATGTTCTGACCATCCTACTTTGAATATCTTTAAACCATCTAATTACTTTTAAAACTTTATATTTTATATAAAAGATGTTATATGTTTTATATATAATTGCATTTTTGATCTTCAAATGTTTTTTGTATTACGCGAACTCTAAACTGTAATTACTGTAAATAATTTCATCTTAAATTGTGACACGGTTTGTAGATTGTTTAAAGTGCAGGACATTATGTGTGGATATATTCGTATTTACGTGGCTTGTCTTTGCGATGTACACAATTCTGGCTGTAACGATATAATGCGACATAAGTGCGCTAATGACTCGTAAAAGCACTCCTAACGATCTGTTATGTTGCTCTTGGAGTAAACATGCATAGTTCATGGATTTTTTTTAAATAAAAAGGAGTAAAAAGAGAAGAAAGAAAATAAATGCGTACGTTGTAATGCTATTCTCGGCTATTCTGTCTCGCCAATGTATTTTTTTTTTCATGTTTGTCGACAGCGAGCATCGGCGATTTTTCATCTTCGCGATCGCGAAAGAACGGAAACTACGGCGGGCAAACGTATCGGTGTTAGTAATAATGTACGTCAGTCAGGGAAAGTATGGAAACGGACGCGACGTCGAGACCTTCACGACCACAATTCGATTGCACGATTCGGCGCGACAAGAATCTCGCGATTAGTAATACTTGCGAGCTAGTCTAATAGCCTGCTTCTATCTCTCTGACGTCAGTCTAATGACGAGATAAATGACCGGTTGATGCTAGTTTTTTTGCAGAAATTCATAAGAAATGCACACAGATATCAAACGGGACTCCGAGTTAGCTTATTACATTAGTCGACGAAAATTCAATCTTTTTTGGCCTCAAATAAGTAAACAAAGTTATTTCTGGTAGAGTTTGATGCGCTGATTACAAATGTGATCCCGAAAATGTCATATCATGTCAAGTTTTTGAGATCTTCTAAACTAAAGGTAAAAATGAAGTATTTGACTATTTTCAACAACCTACAAAATGTTTAAAGGCTCGTCTACATAGAAATTATGAACGATCGTGAAGTCTTAAGTCGTAGGAAACTGATCAATTACAGTCAAATATAAGAAGAATATTCGACTAGGATTAGTCAATTTTCTATTAAATAAGTTTTTACAAGAATGAAAAACTCTTAATTTAAAAAACAATATCGAAAAATAATATACAGGGCACATAAGAGTCAAATAAAAACCAAAAATATGAAAAAAACAAATGAAAAGTATAATATAATATTCTATAATTGATTAAAAATCATATATATATATATTATAAAAAACATGTTTCAGTCTCACGATTGAGCCTTCTTCAGATATGCAGGAGATGTTACATTAGTTAAGAGCAGTCGAAAAGATAGACAAAATTATACACATAGTGATGATGAGATGTTTTTCAGAGAAACGGAAAATGCTCGCAATTATTTGTGATCTTAAAACCGTCTATGGACTTTTATGAAGACGAGTTTTAATTATTTTCAGTATCCAGACAGAATGTTTTTCTTGTGAAAATACAAAATGTCATTCTTGTAAAAATACAAAGACTTCTAAATATCGAAGAGCTTGGGTTTGAGAAAAAAAAATTCATTTAAATATTACCCGG